ACATAGACAGTCGATTCATTAAAAGATGAAAAGATCTGTGTAACCTAGTCTTGTGCAATGGGACCAAGAAAGGCCTTTCACTCACCTCATATGAAAATTTCCAGTTGTGAAAGCTGATCATGTCCATCTATTTTGCTGGTTACCAGTAAAGCAATCCATCAGTCTGTATGTGTGGCATACGAAGCACAGGAAAAGTGAATTTCACATACATTTTACAGTCAGTTATGTTTTAAACAAGGAAAAATCAAACTGCATTTTGTCAATTGCCTACCTGAGAATTCATCCTCATTTGAAACATTTTAATTCAATTAGTTGAACTTGTAGAGTAAAATAGTAGCATATTGCTGCAAAAATGACTAATGGCTCTTAAAATTTAATTAGTGTGTATTAAATCAATAGTCATCATTTGTGGCAAGGTTATTACAGCATTACATTGTTATTTGTTTGCTTGCTTGTTTACATTATTTTCTACAAAAATACCGCATACCTCCTCCTTTTTTTTAACAAATTAAGTTTCAAACCAAAGAAACAGTCAAGATTCACTGGGGGGTTGCCCATTTCACTTTTTTTGTGTGTGCATGTGGGGGTTTTCATAATGTTTATATTTTGGAAAAGGCAGGTCATGCCGGCAGGGAAGACAACCAGTCCAGCTGATCAAAGAGCTTTGGCTTGAACTCAGAGCAAAAAGGAGAGCACATCACCTTGGAAGAAGGGGCAAGCAACTCGGGAGGACTACAAGGCTGTTGTGAGGTTATGCACGGAGAAAATTGGAAGGGCCAAAGCCCAACTAGAACTTAGTTTGGCTACTGTTGTAAAAGACAACAAAAAATGCTTTCTACAAATTCAACAGTAACAAAAGGAGGGCCAAGGAGAATGGGCTTTAAGGTCCCTTCCAACTCTAATCATTCTATGATTAAGTACATCTTCTGGTGAAAGACAGAAATTATGTGCTCCTGTGAACCACAAGTTGAGTAAGAATACACAGTCAAAAATATCAGAAATTGCACACACCAATTTTCAGATATTATCTAGTTCTGTCACAAAGATGCAAATTTCTTTTCCTTAGAAGAAATAAAAACCAAACAAAACCATGCCAATTACCTATTTTCCCTCAACTACCCCACAAATTCATATTACTGCAAATATCCTGCTACTGTAATTTTAATACTTAATCTAAAACAAACCACTTCAACCTTCCTCCTCACACATCCATTTTCCTGAAGATCATCTTCATATCTCTCTAAAGTTTTAAGGGAAGCTTTCGTAGGAAAAAACTCTTCACAGACAAGAAAGATGTACAAGTACTTTCTATTTACTGCCAGACAAACTTTCATTCAGGATTTCTCCATTGCTAAAGACAAAACCTCTCTTTCTACACGTCAAGGACAGTAAGTAAACCCGTCACATACACGATCCATTCCTATCACACTACCGAGTAATTAAAACCAGTGTGTTGGGGCAAATAGACAAAGGAGATTGATAAAGATTGCATTAAGATCTCAAGTTTGGCATTTGCTAAATTCTGAAATCTTGGTTTTGCAAACTTAACAACTGTAATGAAATTATATTCAGCAACTGTAATGAAATATAGCTTGTCCCAACGTTTATGGTAAAATGGCCAAGAATTGGAGCTGTCCAGCAATAGTTGTTGGCTCACTGAAGACAGGCAGAAAACCAGGCAGCCACAGACGAGAAACTCAGCACAAGAAAACCCTTAAAGCTTGTGTATTTTACCAGATCAGGTAAAAAAAAAAAGAGGTCTGGAGTCACAATGTAGCTTGCACAAACTTATGCACAGCAGCTTTCTCTATGGCACGATCCAGAAAATGCCAGCTGCTTTTGTCAGGAGTACAGAAACAAACCAACACCTTCAACCTCACAAACACTAAAAATATATATTTAAAATAAGGATATGATCTCACGATAGCTGGAGGATATGCAAAGCACTGAAATCCAGCAGGTTGAATTTGTCCCTAGTGCTTAGTACATGCAATTTTCCTTAATGTAATGGACAGATACTTTGCATTAGGAGTGAATTTAAATGCATGGCTATGATGTGTAAAAAAGCTTTTGTTCTACAACAAAGAAAGCATCTGCATCAACATAATTTATGCAGCTGTACAAATTTTTAATTCAGCTTGATTGCTGTTTGTTATTTGCTGAAGTGAAAACTCAATAAATTTACATTCTGCTGCCAGTTTGCTCCCAAATACTTATTTCTACCTCTGATAAGAAAGGTTGCACTGGACAAGCGCTCTCAGTTGTACTCACTGAGAATCAATCATCGAACTAAATTACATACTTGTAATTTACAAAGTTCCTGAAGATCTTCTTTGTCTCACACTGGAACAGTAGCATTACTTAAATAAAAAGCATCCAGTGGGTATTTGGCTCTGCCCAGAGCATACTCCATCTTCTCATACATCTTCACTTGTTGAAAGAGTCCATAATAATGTGCTTTATTAATCAACTTATCAAACCATGAAAAAGAAGCAGTGCTCTGCTCTCTGCACGGGCACATAGCAAAATCACTGGCCCTAGAGACTGGCTGAATTGTACCAAAGCTCTCTGGAACCAACACCAATGAACTCATCATTCTCTGAGAGCCCCAAGTAAATCCAGATGGGGAGGGAGTTTCCCTGAATCTGCAAACCATACTCTTCACATCTTTTCATTGAACAAGTGAAGTACCCTTGGAAAAGAAACCAAAAAGAGAATCCAGCTTTAGTTGAACTTTTAGGTTTTTACAATAAACAACTGGGCTAAGGCTAAATTAGCTTTTTATTGTGGAACAGAAGACAGTCTTCCTTCCAATGTCCTCCTCCTTCCCTCTTTGCCTTTTTTGTTTGTATATGATGTTGCTAATCACAGACTTTTTTAAAATTGCTAATCAGTAACACTATTCAGTCTTGTTAAGCTATAACAAAAGCACGGTACAATTATCTGCACTAACAACAGTGTGATATGACTGATCAGTATTTGTCAGATAATTCCGTGAAGAGACAAATGAGCATGTGTATGAGGGAGGGAATAAACCAGTATGTAGCTAATCAACAGGACTGAATCTGTAAGTATAAGGTGATAGAGGACAGAAGGAAATGCACTGCCTTGCCTATTTAGAAATCTGATGTATTTAGCAGAGGTGGAGCAGTGAAGATTCTAAATGTGAGTGCATATTACATCCAGAATTCCACTTTCTTTTGCATTGCTGAAACAGTGAAATCACATTCTGGCTTAACAAGATACAGTATATGTAACATTTGCTCAGACTTGTGCTAGCCCAGTTCTCACCAACTTCAGTCCTTGCCCGATGTTTCTATTAAGAACAGTCCAACTCAGCACAATGAACTGTAACCCAAAAGCCACTTGCAGCATGAGAATGTAAATATATCTTCGCACAGGTCAGTTCATTGGCTGCTTTGGATCAGGTACACTGGTTTCAAAGTTTTTAACAAGTGTGTGTGAACAGAAATGAAACAAAGGAAAAAAAAAGATGAAAATTCTTTCTTTTGCAGAGAATTAGCTTAAATGAAAACAGAAACCCTGTGTAGGAGGAGGAATGGAGTGTAACTCAGAGGACTGCTTCATTTGTTTCTGCACAGATCTCCCATGCAACCCCAGGTCTCACATTCTCTTTTCTGCAGATATTCAACTGCATAATGCAAACAATGATCCCTTCATCACCCTTGTGTCGGAACAGCAGAAACCCTTAAAAGCAGTCTGTTACAACTCTCTCCTTAGTGCCCAACACAAAGGGCACTGTGAAAAAAAACCAAACAAAATCACCCTCATGCAAACGGTGCTAAAATGAAAAAAAAAGGACCCTAAACCTTTGCCAGCTCTGCAAGAAGTAATCTCTGCAAGAATATGAGGACAGATGGGTTTTGATAAGTTATTTAGAAGACTAACTCATAATTGATGCAACACTGTATTAATTTTTCTTGCTACTCTGTAGCAGAGAAAATGCCATCATTACAACAGGTAATCTATGCTATATCTAAAAAATTGCTACTAAATCTCTAATTAAGTTACCCAGCAACGTAAGCGAAGCCTTGATATCACGCTAAAAGCAAATGCAAAACTGACCAGTTTTTCTTCTCTAATTACCTATTTAACAACTGTAAATAACCTGCATGTATTGTGTCTACCTGTCACTTACATATTATCAAAATACATAGTTCTTATGATAGATAATAAGAAGTTTGTAACTCAGATAAATATTACTTTTATATACCTGTACACTAAAATAGACCTGTTCATAGCTATTTTCAGGATTGACTACATGTAGCAAATCCATAAAGAGAAGCTTCCTAAAATGGCCAAGTACATCAAATTCTTTTAAAAGCCAGATTAATTAACAAGTACCATTATGCCTGAGCCCCATGCCACCGATGGAGAAGCTAGGCTTTTTTCCTGAAGTCAACAAGGTAATCTTCAAACAACTAGGCAATTTAGGAGCCAAAGTAACAATTAAGACTGCTTAGGTCTTTGCCCTAGGTCCCAGATTCTTACTGGTGTATCAGTGCCCATTTCCCATTCATTTCAGTGGCACACAGTTACATAAATATTTACATACAACTGGCTGTAAATACACAGGAAGGTGTCCTTACAGAAATTCCAGAAAACAATTTGCTGACTTTAAGGAGCAAAATAACCCAGTCACAACAAGTTTCTCATATGTTGAATACAAGGATACATTCAAAAATAAGTTTTAGTCTTGTAATCTATCTCAAAGTTGTTGAGCTGAGTCCAACACTGATTTCCCACTGAAGCCAATAAATTCTTATTACCTGGTCCATCAAAGTTTTCTCCTGAAAGAGATCTTTGAAACTCATTTCTCAGCACTAAAATGCTACTTACATGTCTATGTAAATCTTTTAACTATGGAATGCTGTAAAATGACATTTCTGTAGAGTATTTATGTAATATCTGACAACTAACTGCTTCAGTAGTCAGATTTTCTTATTAACTCTAAATACATAATGCAAGATAAACATTACCTTGATTTTCTTCCAGCTTCCCAATTGTTTCTATCTGCTCAACAAGGTCATTTGAGTTCCACTGGCTCATGCCTATAAGAATGGCACTTTTTCCTTCCACCATCTCTTCTGTAGGAGAAAAAAGGAGAACAGAATAAATTGCTGTGACAAACAACAGAAAAAAGACAGGGTGAGAACCAGTAATTGAGACAGAAATAAACACTCAGCATAGCTCCTAATGGGAATAGATAACAGGGTACCATATGCAGGACTCTCCAGGAAAGCTTTTTACCTACTCATATGCTCTACAGCAAACCTGTATGCTTCATATATTGTGTGCAGGAAAACAATGGAAAAGAGAGGACCGAATTTTTTTTCTTACCTTGAGCAGTCACTTAAAAACAAAGTTTATAATAATCAATTTGAGTGTTTGAGTGGCTGGTTGGTTTTGTTTCTTTTTTTTCATTTTAAGAACATTCAAAAGGCAGAGTAGAGGGTAGAGTGGACACACAGATCAGTTTAAGACTTTTCAATAATGGGACTGGTTCTCTCAGTGCAAAGAGACTTCCACAGGCTGAGACGGATTTCAAGGGCATGAATTTTCATGAGAAATGACACAATACTGGGGATTTTTGGTTTGCCTCCAAAACACAAGCCACCATTCTTATGGTTAAAAAAAGCAAATAAACTATGTATCTACACACATACGCCACACACAGCCTCTCCCCCAAAATCTCACTTACACATCCACATCAGCTTCGTATCTATGACAATTCGCATTCCCATAATAATGAAGGATCATCTGAGTACCAGCTGCAGTGTCTGTGTGCCTACCCACTGACAATAAAGATTACAAGGGACAAATGAGCTTATATACTATCCATATTTCTTTCCTCTCTCTGTGCAGACAGCTGGAACATCCCTGTGCTAAAAGCCTGTTTCAGATAAGACAGCTGTTTGGTTCAGAACAAGGATAAAATAATCAGTGTTCAGCAATGTATTTTCTGAAACACAGACCCGTGCATGCACACACACAGAGCTCAGAGCTCTCTTCAAACAGAGATGGATTGCTAAATCCCAGCTCAGAAGAGCAGATCTGAGCTCATTTCAGGCTGGGCACGAGCTGGCATTGTGACATCAGATAACATGTAGTCAGGTTTTTGTGCCTCAGCCTCCCCACAATTTTTTTAAAAAAAATCTTTAATTTATTTACCATTTTTTGGTCACTTATTTCTTTATTTTTCTGTGGATTGCTTCTTGATTCTCAGATACAGAACCCTTTATGCCAACGGAGTAGTTACCGTAAGCCTAGTTATGTAGAAACAGGTAATTAAAAACAGTATTTGAGGAATGTCTCATATCTCAGACTTCAAAAAGGCTCTGAATTGAATACATGCTATATTAATATAGGCAATAAATGAAGAAACTACCACAGGACATCCTTTCAAATTAAGTTAAAAAGAACAATTGCATCTCTCTGCACAGAGGCTGTAGTATACCTGTAGAGCCAGGTATTCATTTCTAACTCTGGTAAATCAAGATGATTCAACCATGTTTCTGAAAGAATGTGAAGTCCACAATCAATTTCACTGATTCTAGAGGCAGCAGAATCCATTAAATCATTTATCCAGACTTCCTGAATAAACTAGATCAAACAGATTTATCTTGCTATATCTGATCAACCAAACACAAATCATTTGACTTTCTTAAAAAACATTATTCCAGTATCTATTGTCATTTAGACCTGCCCAATTTCAGTGGACAGTTGTAACATTCTAGGAAAGGCCAAAATTTGGTGCCAAGTTTTCAAATTCAGTTTTATTTGGAAAAGTTTTCTTCCCTTGTTTAATTGAGGCTGTTGCCTACTGGAGAGAATGGTGATAAAAAATGTGAGCAGCTTGTATTTCAAGTTTAAATTTGCTGTAAGTTTTATAACTATAGAAGGTAAAAAGGAAATTGGAAAATAAGTGGTTCACCATCAGACAGACACCATCACTGGCAGATAAACTGAAGTCAAGGCATCCTGGATCCAAACCTGTACTTTGAATAATACACAGTAATAATCTGATTAATATTAGTTATGTCTCTGGAAAAACAGCTTGTTTAGGAAAATAATATTACAAATTCAGCTTTGCAGAAATAAATCAGTCAGTTATCAGTGAAGCTGATGCACAACTTCCAAACCACTCAAAGCACAAAGCTGATGCCCCCACAAAGCTGTTTGACTTTCACTGCCTACCTCCCACCCTCTGCATTTTTAAATTAACTAAAAAGCTCCTGATATAATGCTGAATTTTCACACAAGCTTGCGTCAGCATGAAAACACAAGAACTGGTCATCAACCATTCTTGCAACAATTCCACACACAAAGAAAATTACAACATGCTGAAAACTGAAGTTCACTTCAAGACAGCAGACCTTCAGTGCCAAATACTGCCTTAAAAACACCAACTGCCATTCGCAAGTCCACCATGCATCTCCAGACACCAAATCAGCACACAGAAATGAGACTGAAGCCGATGCGGTCCTATAAAATAAAACTAATTTGCTCAGAAATAGGCCTCATTCAAGAGGAACAGAATGTGGGGAATGGAGGGGATTTTCTCTCTGCCCCACAAATATCACCAGAGAGAGAAACTGAATGACGATCTTAGTTATGCAAACGTTTTTGCACTTAGACATCAGCAGAATCTGATGGTGTGTTACAGAGCATGTCCAGATTCAGGGTCTCACAGGGGATGTCAGGAGTGTTGCAGGTACCTCAGCTGGTCAGAGCATATTGCTAATAATGCCAAGGTCATGGGTTAGATCCCCATATGGGCCATTCACTTAAGAGTTGGACTTGATGATCCTTGTGGTCCTTTTTAACTCAGAATATTCTGTGATTAAATCCACAAGCACTCAGATTATCGCTCCTTGAGCAAGCAGAGGTCTCAGTCTGCCCAGGGAAAATTTTGACAGAATGGAAAACCTAAGCCATTGGTCTTAGAAGTTGGCCATCAGTAACACAGACACTCATGGCCTTCATCAGAAAATGTGAACAAGTGAACTGTGAACTCCAGTTGTAACATCATACACTGCCTGATCTGGGAAGGAGCTGGACCGAAAAGACTCCATAAGGTCTGGGCTGGTGCAGTCCTGCTGCTTCTGACATCAGACTCAGTTCAGGGCAGCTTGCTCATGCACCCCAGCACCTCATCCAACTCCTGTAAATTTAGGCCCATTCATAAATTCTGAAGAGAAGATCTGATGGGGTTTTTTTGTCTGATGAGGACAACGCTCTCAGTGCACCTCCACAGGAGCTCAGTTACTTGCTGCAAAATTGGGGAAAAAAATGGGAAGGGGAGGACAAAAATGTGCACTGACCTCGTGCATCGAAGAATTCATCATCGGAGCTCTCCACGGAGTCCCTGAGGACGCTCTGCATGTGCCGCTGGGCGCCACCGAACCGGCACGGGCCAGCTGGAAATACAGAGACTCACATTAACCCAAGAGAACGCTCACCTCTGCTCCAGAAAAAAACAACAACCCAACGCATTAATGACCAGTTTGTGTACATGGCTCAGGAGGATCATTTTGGTCATCACACAAACTTTAATCTCAATAGTCACCCAGCCAGAGCTCTCAGGGTGGCACAAAAATACTTCCACCTAACAAAAGTGATTAAAACAAGTTCTTGTTAAAGATAAGTCTATTGCTTTCAGCTAATGCAGCAACCTCAAAAGATAAATTCTTCCCTGTTGAATTCATCTGGCTGTTCCATTCCAACACTCAAACTGCATACTGTTTCTAAGGCATGAAGCAGCATTTCCCCAGGACATGGCAGTATCTCCATTTAAATTCAATTTCACTCCTAAAAGAAGTGTCATCCTATTTAGCTCACAGATTTGCAGACAAACTACTCAATTCTCACTCACTGAGCTGTTTTCATCAGAGAGCTTTGCTGTGCTGGAGGCCTGGGGCTTTCATTCGAAGCTTCCGCTTGACAGCAGACAGGAAGGCAAAACCGCTTAGAATTAGTACAGTAACAGATATAGCGACAACAGCGTAGATGGTCCCAACGGATTATCACACTCAAACTAATTTGTAATTAGTAAACCGGACTTGCCTAACTGTACGAGTTTTCTTTACATCTACAGCAACCCAACACTAGAAAGCAGTAGTGAAATATATTCCTTCTATTAACAACAAAGTCTCCCCACAATCCGTGGGGAACCAGGCATCAAATCCACCATACCCCTAACAATGCTACTGTAGAAAGGACACTCATTACCCACCTAAACAGTGCCCTTGGTTTTATTCATTTCTGCAAATGATGCCATCAGATCTGAATCTAATATCCAGAGCCCCGGCCACAAAAGCATTCTTCTTCTCTCATTAGTAAAATAGCAACTCAAGCAGAGGATGCACCTTCTAAACTATTCTGTGGAAAATATGCCACTAGGTCCACAGCCTTTTGTTCTTCATTTATTCCACCTATAGCTGAATTAATCAGAAATATAAGTGAAGAGTGGTAAGAAGAAGCAGATTTTAGCTGGCCGAGAGTAAAAATAAAAATCAGTTAATAGTATCTTAATAGGGTAAAAAAAAAAAAGATTATTAAGGAGTCAGTATTCATTACAAGAGTATGGTGCATGTTGGGAATGTGTCCAATGGTATCTGGCAGCTACTGGAGAATGCATACCGACCACTGCACTTACTGTTACAGATTTCTGAAAACTTTTACTAATCATAGGAAACAGTACACTGAATTATTCCTCACCAAACAACACCTTGCTGTCCCTCCATTCAGATACATATCTATCCTAAAATGTATCACTACAGTCTTCAAAATAGTGGTAGAAAGAACACTTATCTGAACTTCTAATGAAGACAAGTCTGCTTTGGGTCAATGCTTGGAAGAGCAGGCATTCCAAAATTGCAAAAGCATAAGATGGAAGAGAGGGAAGGTGGGAGACGGAGGGAGGGAGGGAAGGAAAGGAAGGAAATATAAATCTAAAATTGTAAAGACTTCAAAAGTACTCCAAAACAAACAGCAACTCCCTGGTGAAAAACTGCCACTAGCCTGGCTGGAAATCAGTAAAAGTACTGTCCCCCCCAAAACAAGCTCATGGTTCCAGGGACCTTGGAGTTCGATGCACAATGTAACAGGAGGACAGGGAAAAGTGTCACAAATATCCAGGCATAAATTCTGGCTATGAGAAAAGCCCTTGGAAGCATCAGTTTTATTATTATTTGCATTAGGAATGCTTCTAGATTTAGAAGCAGCTTAAACATATCCACAGTCAGCAGCACAAATCTGCGTGATCTCACTGCAGCAGCTCTCCACATCTACATGGATTTGCTGGCTGGACTGCATTGCACTGCCCTAATACATTGGTCCTTGTAGAGTCTGCTTTGTTTTGTGCCAGTAGATTAGCATTAGACACCTTCAGAAGACTCTATTAACATTTCTTGATTGCATTAGACGCTGACATTGCCTGGACTCACTGATTTGATTTACAGTGTCAACTGCTGCATATTTTATTTTATTATTTTTTCCAGAGAATGAAAAGACCTGCCCTACTTTGAAATGCAGGCAAACTCCTTGGTAATGACACTTGAGGCTTCTATGGCAGTGAACTTACTCTTTATCAGATCAGTCAGCTGATTCTTAGCAGCCAGATGTCAGCAATTTTTGCACCCAGGGTAGCAACTTTCATTTAATTTCAGCTGTTTAATTTAATTTAATTTCAGTTGTTCGGTATCACAATTTCTGATGATAGAAGGGGACCGCATGAACAAATGCTTTTAACCGAAACCACTAATGACAGAGTCACAACAGTAGAAGCACATACAGAAGTTCCCCACAGGTTGTTGGGGCAGTACAGCAGATGGACAGTAGGATACAAGGGGAACACTTCCAAGAGGCAGAAGGAGAGTCCACAGAAATGCACAGGTGCTTCCCTTCCAGAAGAAGCAGAAGTGAAGTTTCCTACCTAAGCTGCTCTCTCTGCACAGAACTGCATGTTGTGACAGTCACCTGTGACAGAGGGAGCTGGCAGGGGCTGGCCCTGAGCACACAGCCACAGCAACAACTGCAGAGAGGACAGGAGCAGAGCATCCTGCAGCACCATGCACAGAAGCTGAATGCTCTAGTTAGGCTAGTATTGTAATTATGATTACAATCAGTGATTTTCTTCTGTTAAAAAAGCCTTGCTTTTTCTTCTTCAACAAAGAACAGCTGGAATTTCACTGGTACTTTGCTGCATCAGTGACCTGGTGACACGAGATGAGGTGCTATGATGCATGAGTGAAATGCAATGGTGGAAAACACACTCTTGTTTTTCCCTGTACTAATTTTTTTCATACTTTGTTTTTTTTTCTGTGCTTGATGTTATCGTATCTACCTGAAGACAACTCTTGCAGGACCTAAAGAAAACAATAAGCCTACATATGTACTATTCCACAGTATATCCATTATGGATATGCTAGATCGGGGTTTGTGATTCACCATACTCCACAATATACCCCAACCTCACAGTAGCTGCCATTAATTAGCAATTTATACAAAGCCACTTCTGAATGTTGTTGAAAAACAATCATTTAAAGTAAGACTTTTAGATTTGCAATATGTTCATTAGCCAATTTACCCACATTAGATATTGATTTCCTTACCCTAAGATGTATAAGTAAGGATCACAACTGTAACCTTTACCCTGTACAGAACAGCTTCCATGAGGGTGAGAGCCACAGATATGATCAGCTGCATCCTCTTGTGATAAGCAGCAAAATAGCCAGGATCTTACTTGACTGAAAATTGCTACAGAAATAGTCCCATGTTCTATTATGTGACTACTCGCACTTCCAGTTGAAGGCAAGTCAGACTGCACCTCAGTGGACGGCATCCTAATTCAGATGCAAGGCAAATTTCATCCCTGGTGTTTAGTGACTATACATAGTTCCAGTAAACAGTAGAAGAAACAGTTCCCACTCACATATCTGCAGCTTCTAATGCTGTCCGTCCAGAGAAGGAACAACCCACTATGATGGTGCAATCTCTGATATGTTCCACAAATAGACCTAAGGAGCAGAACAGCCATGAAAAATGCCAATTCCACTTTCACCCACAAACATCAGCAGAGCTCATTTTATCATAGTTCCATAAGAAATCAACAACAATTGAAAAGTATATATAAGAGAAGAATTGTCTCTAGCTTCTCTTGGTCAGGAGGCATAAACTCAGATTCTTTCCAAAGGTGCCTCCTTTTTCTGACATATTAGCAGTGATATGACAATTAAGTAGTGCATGAGCACACTTCATCCCATGTGATTATGAGAGGGATTCTAAAAGAGAAAAAAAAAAGAAAAACGGAAGAGGAATTAAAGTGACTCTACTAGTCTGTAGCCAACATTCTCAGGACTAAGGAAATGAAAGTAGAAAAATGGGCAAGAAGTGAGGTAAGGCCTAAGAGACTCTGAAAAGCCCTCTAAGAAACAAAGGTCTTCCTCTGGCAACTGAATAGCTAACACTGGTGATTCCCAACTCTAATTTAATCATTTTCCTATATCCTTTTAAAAGGCCTAGTGTCCAAAACACACTCATCCTGTAAGTCCCAAGCATCCTAAGACAGAACAGCTCATCACTGTCACTCAATAATTCTGGTTCTGCTCCCTTCTCATCTTGAAACAGTTTTTAAAAACACTGACTTCAGCTGAAAAAGAAAACCACAACTCGAATCATCACTGTTTACAGTAGAACTTCACCAGCAGGACCAGCACAAACACTTAGGGAATGAAAGAGCAATGACTTCATTCCTGAAGCGTATTTGCGAGGGCAGAGCTGCAGCACAGTAAGCTCAGCCCAGAAGCATCACTGTAAGAGTCACTCGAGCATGTCCCTCTTCTCCTTACCAGTGCATGGATCACTGGTTACTTTGTCAGGCAAACAGGACTGGCAGAAAGCAAGCAGGCTGATCCAAATGCCATCATACCAGCCCCTTGTGCACTGGTAGCATCAGTAGTGTGACAGGTTGGTCCCAAAGACCAACCTGAATCAGGTGTGCTCACACTGGATCTACCAGGAAGGTTCAATTCAAGCAGCTTGGGATAAGAGTAGCAGTTTTCATTGGATGTTATACAGCAGAGGGCTTTACTGGAAAACTAATTCAACACAATTCACTTCATTGTCACATTATCACACATTTCAAGCTTTGCAGCAGGCCCAGCTTTTTCCTGCATCTTTTGCTTGGTAACAAACATTTGCCAATCAAGCCTAGATATAAGCACATGCCAGACACAGGCAATCATAAAAAAAGCACTCCTGAATACTATCACCACACCAACCCAGTTAGACACGAAACAGTACACAGTGTTCTCACACCTACTGGAAACTAAGTCTTTTACACAGTAAAGTATTGAGGACTGAATTAATCTCAACAAAATATAATAAAAAATAGATTCTGTTGCACAGATTAAAACATTTCCACTTGTCAAAACTTGCTTTAGAACTGTGACCATTTTGAATTCAGGGACAGTTTTCCCAATAAAATTAAAAAACACAAGTCATTTTTCCATTTGGAAAGAGATGCTGGGTAGAAGGAATGACCTTCGCTGTTGCCAGTGACTGCTATTGTATAATAATACTTCTTTCCATTCTGATGGTTTCAGATGCTTCCTGCCTACCCATTAAGTGATTTAACTGAGCCACCCACACAGTGTTACCTAGTGACTACACAGTTAAGACTTACTGGAGGCCAAAATCACCCACTGTATATTCTAGTTACATGCTTTATTTGTTCTCTGGCAAATGTGAAACTGAAGATGCATATTACAAGGATGTGAATTTAACTACTGGAGGAACTCCTCAGACTCAGGAGTTCAGGCAAGACAGAGATGCAGATCCTTCCTTCAATAATTCCGGAGTGAAAACTCACATATGGTCAGAGAAAGCCCTCGCCTGCACACAGAGAACCAAAAAAGACAGACCATACACTGACATCATTGATAGTAGGGCCACACAGAACTCGTCCAAAATCATACAAGGAACCTGCAGCAGAAACTGGAACTTAAGTGAAATCAGTTGAAGTTGAAATGAAACACACTGCAAGCAGAAAGGGCTGAGGGGGAGTGCGGAGTGGGATGCCTACAGAACTGTGACCCTAAAGGGAGAGAGGGAGAAAAATAACCATGAGAGGTGAGAGGGAGGTCGGAGAGAGAGAGCATACAAGGCCAAGGGGGATAGAGAAGAAAAAAGTAGAAGGCTAAGTCAAGATATCAAATTCTCTTGTCAAAGAGTGCAGCTGACAAAGCCAGAGACATAGTTATAGACAGAAAAAAGTCCACACAAATTGCAGGTTCCCTTGTCAAGAAATGAAAGAGCTAACTGATGGAACAGTCCAGAAACCACTGCGGTCAAAAGTGCACAACACAACCAACTCCTCTCTCCCATTCCTCATTCAATGTCTTTCATCTCGTAGCAATTCCACAGTGACAAGTCTCTGGTTACCTACTTTGTACATCTTTCCACTGGCAATTCTGCAGCAGACGGTAAGGACAGGCACGTATCTGCATATTAAGTAAAGAAAACAAATCAAAAAATTAAGCCATGCAGGCCTTTAAGCCCCTATTTTAAGGTATCAGTGAAATTTCCAGTCTTGCACTCTCTGGGATTACTAGTGAGGTGGAGGAAGCGAGAGAAGAGGTTTACCATGGCTGTTCAGGCTCAAAATCCTAGACAGAGCTTTCCTGTAAATGTGGTACATCTCTCAGAGCTGTTTCTTGATGCTTCAGATACCAGCTCCCCCTCAGCAGAAATTAACTTCACCCTCCCTCTCAGCAGCATTATCACCTCCTCCAAACTGACTCCCCAAAACCAGAGAAGATATGAATATTCTCTAACCTTTTCCTGCAATGACTGTAGGTGGACTGCCTGCATCACATCTGAAAGACTCTACTTTCATAGTGCAGAGATTCTGGCTTACTGAGGAGGATCTGACATTTTTGAGTCACTGCTGTCTGTTAAAATTAAAGTAGGAGATAAAGAGCAGATATCCCCCCCCACTCCCGCAGGGACATGTCAGGTCACTACCATCAGGACTATCATCTGCAGTTGTGTCTGGTAGGTTTTACAACCTACAATCTTGCAAATGTCCAAGCACTTCTGCACAGGGACTACTCCAAGTGCTTAAGATCTGGAGTTCACTAGGTGAGATCTGACTACTCAAATGAGTCAAGCATGGACCACGCCTAAAAGCCCTTTACAGGCACACCTGTCATTCAACAGTGATCAAACAGCAGATTTTCACCAGACTTGTGATCTTTCTTTCTGAGATAAGGCTACAGTATTGGAAGGGGCTGCAAGGCAGGGTTCATACAAGCAAAACAGATACAACATTTCTACCTTTGTGCATATTCCAGCTCACATTGATAAACTCAGTAGGCTCCATTTATAAAAGCAGCACATTTCCTCTACTCCTAAAGCAGATATGTTCTGCCAGACCTCCTTTGTGAATGGTTTAGTTTTGCTTTACATTAAGTAGTTACAGTGTCACAAAGCTGACATCAAAAGACATATTTTGTCTACTGAAGTCAGTGGAATCACATCCAAGACAAGTAGCATCCTTTAAAATTCCTGTGCAAAGTTGGGCTTGAACACACAAGCTACATACACAGGCTGCATTACTCATGTATCACAGAAATCCAAAGCAATGCCCCCTTATTTTCCTATCAAACTTAAAAGGACTGGAAACTAATGCCAAAGAAAAAACTGTGAGACTTTCCCCTCACTTTTTTACTTCTTCATCTTCCAAAGATGGAAAACAACCATTTAGTTCAATCCTGTATTTGCATCTTCTGAAATTATCGATGCTCTCATGTTCCTGAAGTATTATGTCTCTGGACTGCCACCAATCCATGCCTATTTTGGAGGAATAATAATAAAAAACAACACTGCTGGAAAGAACCCCTTTGGGTTTAGCTTTAATAGTGCCATGCTGCTGTAAAGCTGTCCCAGAGCTGGCACCAAACACCAGGTGAACGTCACATACTGACCATTCGGTCACAGCAGTTAGGCCTTCATCTGCAACAGCAATGGGCTCTGTGTGCAACCTAGAAGAAAACCATTTCTGCATCAGCAAGTGGATTCTCATCTGTTCTGCTGGTTGTCACTGGCCATTCGTGCACACACACAATATGCCACCTGTGCCTGTAGGCTGCACTGGGCACGGGGCATCAGGGTGCTGCTGCTGCTGAGCATCCCCAAGCTCTGGTCCCAGCTCCAGTCAACCGACCTCCGCATTGCTCAGGCTCCGGAGGAAGCGCGAGTTACAGCACGTGAACGGGCAAAGCGCAGCCTTTGCCTTTCAGCAAGTCCCACCCAACAGCATACCTTTATTGTTCTCCGAGCACGGCTGCTGCCTCCCGCTCTGCTCCTCCTCGGCAGGTGGCACCGAGCACCGGCCCCACGAGGCCGGAGCTGGGAGAGACCGTTCCCAGACC